TGGAGGTCACCCACCCGAGATCAGTTTTTCTCCCTGTATCAGTAGAAGTAGCATTTCTTAGATTGTTTTAATACTAAACTATAAATTACACACACTTGTTAATACATTCAAAAGTCTAAAAAGTAAACTTTGAGCTTTATGTTTTACACATTTTCTATTTTTGCATATGTTACATCTCTATTCCTCTACAACATAGTGTTCTATTTTTTAATCTATGAAATTCAGTAATAGAGTTGCTCATTGTTTTAAAAAACTACATTTAAACACTTAAAATTATAATTTTATTCCATTTTCTTTTGCTTAATATGATTCACTTAACATTTTTGATTCCATAAATGTGGCAGTCTTTCAATTTTGAAAATCAAAATTTAATTAAAAATTTTAAGCTAAAGGCAAATAGAAACATTTACCACATATGTGATTTTAAAATTCAAAGTCTAAAGCTTTTAAATACCTAGCTTATTCAAAGCTATGTGATTATACCCTTTCTCAGGCCCATATTTTAATTAATGCACATCAAACATTGCATCTGAAACTCATATGTTCAAAATGAAACTGTTCTTGAGTATTGCAACATCTCATTACCTTAACAAGCCATCAGTTTACCCAACTTCTCATTCTTGGTAGTTACAATTATAATTCTTAAGATCCCCCTATGTTTAAAATGGAACTTTCTTCTCACATTTCATTTATATTACCTATCAAGAAATCTATATTAAAAATCAATTACTGAATTTCTGAACATCCCCAAAATTTACATTTGAGATACTAGTATGCAAGTTGTTTTCATTTGTGTTCTACACATGACAAAGCTGAATTCATTAAACTCGTTGCTTAGATCATAATAGCTGCCTGCCATCTTTATTCTGTCTGTCCTTAGTCCTACTCTTCATAACTTTTTCCCAATTTCACTTTCCGTTATTATTTATTGGCTTTCAGTGTTCATTCTCTCTTCTATTGTCAACGGCCTCCAGTCCCGTTAGGGGTAATTTTTCTGATTGTGAAGACCTTTGGGAAGAGAAAAGTGTAAGTCCAGCTTCTCTGCTTTTCTCTAGCTGAGAGATGGATGTGACCCGGGAAAGGTCCATTGTACCCTCTCTTCAGGATTTTAAATTTGAAGAGCTCTGACAAAACTAAACAAAAAAGGGGATACAAATGAAGGTCCATTTTGTATCTGTATATACAAAGTAGTTCAGATAGATATACAGCTACTTTCTCTTAATTCAATGAGAAGGAAGATTTGTACTAATAGTGTTTGGACAGGATATCATGTCTGCATCTTGTACTATGAATAACCACTAAGGAGATAACAATGTACTATGTATTAATTATTGTAACATCCTACCTACCTATTTTGAAACTGTCTCATTGCTATTTGTTTCTCAATAAAATTAATAAAAGAACAAATAAATTTGAATAGAGTTTCACAGGATGAATAATGGGGAATAACTCAAATAGTACCTGCTGTGAGGCACCCAGAAACTTTTCTTGTTTTAAAATCCTTGCTCTTTTGCCTTTGTGCTAATTCTGGTAAATTTACTTTATGTTTGATTAATCAGAGTGATTTATGTTGTTTGCATCCAGAGACGCCTAACTGATAGATGAATAAATTATATTTGAATATCATTCCTGCAGCCCATCACCAAGTCTTAGCCTGGTAAGGAAGGATCCCAGTTATTTAGCCACATTCCTCTCTATTCAACCCTCCAGTCTCTCCCTCCTCATACACCTGAAATTCAGCCATATGGAATCACAGTTCCTCAACCATCATATGCTGGTTCCCACCTCCTGAAAATTATGGTCTCTTCCTTCTGCATGAACTGTTCATCTCATTTCACCCAGGTGTTCATTCCAATTTGTTCATTAATGCTTTGTTTAAGCTCAATCTTTTTCACGAAGTTACTCCCAACTTGATTGTTTTTAAACCAAAAGAAATAAGTAGGAAGGAATCATTATTATATAGTAAGAGAAGGGAAAATAGATAAGTATATGAATGTATATTTATAACTATGAAAATGTAGATACTACATATACATGTATTTCATTAAAATTCTATTTTTTGTATTTCCATATATGGTTCTTGAACTCTCCTAAATTAATTTTGGGTATGTTTTGCTTGTGGATATTGAACTCAGAGCCTTTGCACTAAACTACATCCTTAGCCTTTTTATTCCCCTAGTCTTTAAAAAAAATTTTTTTTAATTATGTGATCCTTGTCTTCTACCAGATCTGTGAGTAAAAGACCTCAGTTTTTTCCCATTTAGAATTATGTTAGCCATTGGCTTGTCATGGATGGCTTTTATCAGACTGAAATTTCCAGGCAGGACTTGAACCTATGTGCCACCACAGCAAATTATCTGGGCATATATTTTTCTTTCTTTCTTTTTTTTGACGGAACCGGGGATTGAACTCAGGCCCTTGCACTTGCCAGAGAAGCGCTTATTCCACTGAGCCATCTCCCCGGCCCCTGGGCATATATTAAAGACTAAAGCAATGTATCTTTATGAAAAGACTAATTTATTTATAAAACTATGAAGACTGCTGAATACATCAATTACTTCCCTAAATACTAATCTAGCAAACCAATCATGAAGGAGTACTTTCTCTTTTATTTTAGCACATAGGGATATTAACAGGAAGCCATAATGATAGTGGAAAAACAGGCTGCAGATATGCGAAAGGTTCTTGTGTCCAATAATTTTTATGGGATATATAGTATCATTGCTTATATCTAGATGTCTCCCCAAGCCTCATGTGCTCTTGTGCCCAAAAACCCTAAATGTGGTTTTGGGGAAGTGACTGACTAGATCATGGTTTGTGATACTTGATATGGGTGGATGGTCCTGGATTAGCACTGTTTTATTAAGCATTATTCTGGGTGTAGGTGATGGATTTACTGAAGAGAGAAGACCCTAGGTGTGAGGAACATCAACCAATAGGTGTGTATTTGGATGAAATAAAAAGGGAAAGAAGGAATTCTCACAGCTTCCTGCCTGCCATGCCACAGACTGTCTCTCTTCTGCAATATTGCTCTTCTGTTCCACCCTGCATTGGAGACAGTTGACTATGGGCTGAGACCTCTAAACTGTGAGCTACAATAACCCTTTCCTTCTTTAATTTGTGAGTGTTAAATATTTTGCTCAGCAATGTGAAAGTAAGAAACACGGTTTTCATGACAAAATTGCCATGAAGTATGTTTCCAGAGTTTTCTGTGGAACCTAATATCAATCACTAACATTTGTTGAATATTCACATTAATCAATGGAAAATGGGAAGCATTTTTTACTTACTAGTTAACTTAATCCTCATGGTAATCTATCAGGCAGATGGCATAATTATTCACATTTACAGGTAGATAAACTCAGGCTCAAGGAAGACTGAATAACTCAATTCAAGTCATACCTATAGAAGTGAAGTCAACCTTGAACCTAGAAAATCCTAAAGTCTTTACGTTCAACAAAGTCTAACACCCAGTCATGATAAAAATCATAAAGAAAATTTGAATAGATGGTTTTCATCTGGTAAGTATAGTGTGGAAGTATTAGCAGAATAACATGGTGAAAGAATATATCATTTTGCTATACAAATTAGCCCATTGCAATTATAAATGCTCAGCATAATTTCTTAGACAGTGAGTACAAACACATGCATTCCTAGATCCTAGTAGCACTTACAATTATTACTTGCAGGCAGGATATGTAGAAGGAACATAGGATTATGAATTAAACAGACTTCAGTTTGAGTCCTTAATCTATTACCTACTAAAAATATCACATCTAGATGAGCCACAATTTTTCCCAAAAAATGTGGCTACGAATACTTCTTATAAAAAGGCAGTATAAAATATTTGCATATGCTAAGTATATATTTTTATATAAACACATATCCATTAACATATTTTAAATGGTAATATATCTTCTGCATACTCTGTTTCCAGAATAGAAAACAAAGCTCTAGAGAAAGACTTGACCACAATTATACTACGTGCAAATGGCAGAGAATCATTGAACAAAGAACTTCTCAGTTCACTCTCAGGGTCCATTAAATGTGAGACTTTAAAAAATTATTACCAACTTTTCTTCCTTCCAAGAGAATTACTCTCATTCACTTTCAAAAGGTACTCCCCTTTGTCTGCTTTGTCCCCTGTTGTTTTCAAAAGTTTAATTCTATAACACCTAAATATCTTCATCCCATTTTCCTAGCTCTTTAGAAATTCATGAAACGCTGCTGTAAGTTAAACGAGTACAGTATATAGAATAGTCAACATTGCTTTTTTCATCCATTTGGAAATATAAAAGATATATAGTACATCTATCGTAGCTAGGTAAACCCCATTTATGTCAATATATTCTTACATTTCTAGTTAATGCTGTAATTTTGTCAAATGGATTTCAATGTGGCTGAGAATTGGAACATTGTTTTAAAAAACATGTTTATTTGAATGTGGCATTGCACTAATAACAATATTGAGATCTAGAGTATTTTTAAATATCTTTTGTTTTTGTTACTTTTCATTTTTATTTATAGCCAACTTTCAATTATCTTTATCACTGGATGAGGAAAATTGGCAGAGATAACTCAGAAGAGTGGATAATAAACAAGTCCCAGATTATTATGTTTGAGTATACAATACATTATGGCTGCAGAGTGCCAAAACAATTTAAATATAAACAACTCAATTGAGCTAATTATTTGGTATCAAATAGACTTTTAAAATACCAGTTGTTTAATGAATTTATTTAAGCCTATTATATATGTAAGGTTTATGCTTTTTGCCTTGTATTCTCCTTTTTTAAATTCATGACTAATTTAGATGATTGCATTAACTCATGTCCTTTCTCATACTTAGAGTGGACAGAAGAGAGTGTGTTTTGCTTGCTGACTTAGGGGAAAATATGTCTAAAACTTTGATGGGAAATGGCCTAGGAGAGTGAAATAACCAGAAAAATATATGCAGTTTAAGAACAGCCTCTGCCAACTTTTATTTTTTTCACTCATACCTTCTGTTTGGTGATCATCTCGTTGATGTCTTCAAGATCACCCACCATCACCCTTTGTGATTTTATAACTCGATCAAGCAGAGAAAGCCAATCAGTAAGTTCTGTCCAAGCCCGGTTGAAATCTGCCAGAGCAGGTATCTCCAACAGCAAGGAAGATGGCATTTCTAGTTTGGAGATGGTAGTTTCCTTGGCAACCACAGGTTGTGTCACTAGAGTAACAGTCTGACTAGCAGCTAAAATATTTTTTGAAAAAAAGAAAAAAAAAAGAAAAATTAGAAACACATGTAAAGAGCTAATTGGAATAACAATAAATCAACTTAATTGAAAGGAAACAATTTCAGCCAAACTATTATTTGTGATATTATATCTGTTATTAATATAAAGCATACATCATAGGAAACTCAAAAACAAACTTTCCTTTAATACACATTTAGGAATCTCTCAAAATGATTTAGTTCCTTCTAATGCTGGGACAAATTATTTAAATAACCCACTCAATAATAATTTTTCAGTAAAAGCAATTAGTAAACAAAAGTATTCAGACATTTCTAGGTGAATAAGATGTGCTTACTACTTTCCTTATATAAAATATTTTTCAGGAAGACTCTAAGGAGATCAAATTCAATGAAATGTTCTTGCCTCAACTTTGTATTTCTGCTGGTACAATTTGTTTCCTATTTTTGTTTTTGTTTTCTTCTGGGTTGGAACTGAAGTGACTATCAGTGAAGACAAAGCAAGGTACATTGTTTTTGGTTTTCTTTGGGGGGGTACTGGGAATTGAACTCAAGACCTTGCAGTTGCCAGGCAGATACATGTGCTACTGAGGTAAATTCCCCAGGGTACAATGTTTTGACAAAGCGAGGGCTATTAAAGATTTTCTACTTGGATGTGAAACACTGTTTCAGGTTTGTGTGTTTGTTCGTTTGTTTTAATTCAATAATGATTGTTGTATTGCATATTGTTGTTTTCAAATTGGTTGTTCAGATTACCAGATACAAGCATGCAAAATGGGTCAGAAAGTTAGAAACACTTAAGGAGAGAAAAAATTAAACATTAACTGCTCCTTTCAATAGATCAGCAGAAATAAATAGTAAAATGATCCAAGCTATCATGTATACATATCTTTTTTCCTTCTTTATTTTTTCCTTTTCCTCATTCCAATTGTTCTTCCCTTTGAACAGTTTCTTTCCCTTTCACAGTAACTTTCTGATTTTATTTACTCTTTCAGCTGCTTATACTAAGGAGACAGTATGTTTAAACAGACAGGCCTGATTTATTTCACTTATTAGTATGGTGTCTAGTTGCATCCATTTACGTAAACTACTAGCAAACAGAATGCAGTGAATAATCAAGATTATACACTGTGATCAAGTATGATTCATCCCAGGAATGCAAGGATGGTTCAATATATGCAAGTTCACAATTGTAATACAGCACATCAATAGTGCCAAAGGCAAAAATCACATAATCAACTCAACAGATGTAGAAAGAATTTTTAATAAAGTACAACACTCATCATGATAAAAACCCTACAGAAAATTGGAACAGATGGTCTTTAACTCAACTTGAGAAAAGCCATCGATGACACATCAATAGTCAACGTCATACTAAATGGACAAAAACTGAAAGCCTTCACTTTAGAATGAGGAACAAGATGAGGTTGTCCACTGTTACCAGTCCTATTAAATGGAAACATTACCCAGAGTGATTAGACAAGAGAGAAAAATAAATGGAATAAAGACTGGAAAGGGAAAAGTAAAAGTATTATTTGCAGATGATATTAAAAGATTCCAATATCTCCACCAAAAGACATGTAGATATGGTAATCAAATCCAATAGTGTTTCGAGGTTTTAATGAAATCTTAATTGTACTAAAAACTATGAGATAGCACAAGTTGGTTCACACACTTATGCTTAAGGTTGTATATTTTATTATTCTTTCATGAAATTCATGTATGTTGTCTAGAAAATTTCAAGGAACATCGCTTCTCAGCCTTTTGGTTACGATCAAGTGGAAAATTCTAGGAACAAGAATTTTAAGACATATTAACATTAACATTAAATGATTAATGTTTAGAAGGCAAAGGAATTATATAATTACAATATCAGTCCAGTGTATAAAGAATAGATTATAATATGAAGTGTGGTTGGTATAATTACAAAATCATAATTTTTAATCATATATATATATATGTATGTATAATTTTTCCAGAATACTATAGGTGAAATAAGTTTATATAGTTTACCTAGATTATTTAATATAATGCTCTGAGGTAACATCAATGTTGTGACAAGCACAGATCTATGGTTTGCACTCTGAATTATATATTCAGTGTTAATGTCATTACAGATTGAACTAAGGACATCAAATCCAGGTTAGAATAATACTGCTTCATTTTGTCTACTACTACTCATTGAAGTTTAATAAAAATTTGGATGATGCAATCCAAAAAAAACCCAAAAATATTTAAGATAAAATTTTCTATTCTGTTCCACTGTACTGGGCATTCTGGACATGAGACACTACATATGAATCAATTGAGATTTAAAATCTAGGAGTGAAACACATTGGAAAGAATTCTGCCTCAGATCCTGCCCTCTTCTGTGCATCAGGAATATTGGGACCTTGGTTATTTCACTTTCCTAAACTTCAGTATTTCTCCTCAGTAAAGTAAAAGCAATATAATTAATGTCAGAGGGAGAGTTCTGTGGGTCCAATTACTGACAGAAGCAATGTTCTTGTAGCAATGCCAGTGACACATCAACATCATTGACATTGCCACAATATTAGCAAAGTCTCTGATACTACCAGGTAATCAATATTAGCTATTACTATTTTATAAATACATAGTTAATAAAATTATTCTATTAACTAAAAGTGAGAGGCTGGAGATGCAGGGTAGAAATGTGAAATTAACCAGGAGACTGGAACCAAAGAAATGCTTGATTGTGTAAATCAGAAAGAAAGCTTTCTAGGAAAGATGGAAAGTAAAGATACCTCAAGAAAAAACAAAAACAAGAAAACACAAACACAAGACCTCAGACCCATGGACAAGAAGAACATAAAATAAATTCATGCTGTTAGACTTTCATTTTCAGGAGACTATATATTAATTTTATTGCTTTGTAACTCTTTGTACTTTAATTTTTTTT